ACATTTTGCCGATATGACCTTGTTAAGATGTGTTGATGAAACTGAAGCAAAGCAAGGCATGGTAGAGGTTAATGAAGGGATATGTGGAACCCATGCAAATGGAAAAATGCTTGCTAGAAAGATTCTCCGAGCTGGGTATTATTGGTTGACTATGAAACATGACTACATCAAATATGCACAAGCTTGTCACAAATGTCAAATTTATGCTGTTCATATTAATGCTTTGCCTTCATTACTACATAACATGTTCATTCCTTAGCCATTCTCCATGTGGGGCATTGATGTAATTGGGACAATTAATCCCAAAGCTTCCAATGGTCATCAATTTATCCTGGTTACTATTGACTATTTTACCAAATAGGTAGAAGTAGCATCTTATGCTAGTCTCACAAAGAAAGTGACTACTAGTTTCATAAAAAAGGAGATCATATGTAGATACGGACAGCCAGAAGCCATCATTATTGATAATGCAAGCAATTTGAATAATGACATGATGACTATGCTATACAAGTAATTCAAGATTAAACATATGAACTGTTCTCCCTATTGGCCAAAGATGAATGGTGTAGTGGAAACTGCCAATAAGAATATTAAGAAGATTCTAGCCAAGATGACAGTTACTTGCAAAGATTGGCATGAAATGTTGCCATATGCTATCCATGCTCATAGAACTTCTATTCACCTCGCAATTGGGGCAACCCCTTATTCCTTGGTATATGGAATGGAGATAGTACTACCAATTGAGTTAGAAATTCCTTCTATTAGGATCCTATCCAAGTTAGGGATTGCTAAAAAAGACTTGATTCAAAAAAGGATAGACCATCTCAACTTACTTAATGAGAAAAGATTGGCAACTTTTTGTCATGGCCGGTGTTATTAGTAGTGAATGGCAGTAGCTTACAATAAGAAGGTCAAACCTAGAATGTTTCATCAAGGAGATCTCATCTTAAGGAAGATCATGACAAATGAAAGGGAACTTCGGGGCAAATTTGTGCCAAACTATGAAGGACCTTATATTGTTAAAGAAGCTTTCTCTAGAGTAACACTCTTGTTGAGATATTCGAATGGAATTGATTATCATCATCTAGTAAATGTTGATTCTATTAAAAAATATTATTGTTAAAAAAAAAAGAGAGAAAAAAAGAAAAGAAAAAAGAAACAAAAGAAAGAAAGAAAGAAAGGAGTTAGGTTGAAAACCCAAAAGGGCAGTCTAACAAATTAAATGTTTCCTTGACCTAGAAAGCTAAAGGATCCAAGCCCTATTTCTTTATCCTAAATAGTTAAACATTGCCCTTTAACTTACCCCTTTTGAGTTAGAAAAAGGTAATCATTCAAATTCACAAAAGCCGAAATGATTTTCTTTCCATTAACCCACATCAATGACTGGGGAAGTGAAGAGAGAAATGTGAGGGAATATATGGATTTTGAACCTTTATCATTTCTTTCATGATAACCTAACCCCAAGCCACATTACAAGCCTATGTAAAGTCCTTATCTGAGGGTTTGAAGCTTTCTTTGTCAAGGGGCATATAAAAAAAAAAAACAAAAAAAAGGGAAATAGCAAGGCTCCAAGCATTAGTAGTTGGGACTTTTCTTTATTTGAGCATGAGAGTTAGTTCATGAAAGAGGAAAGATTCGAAGTGTCAACTTTCAGAAAAGGAATATGATTCTCTCTCATAGACTAAAGGACTAATGGGCAGAGTTGCAAAGAAAAAGATGATTTAAAGCAATAATTTATGGTCTAAATACCTTGTAACAAGTTGCATCAAGATCTTATATTACTAGCCTAACTTCTTCTTGTCACTAAATGAAGTTGACCTTTTGACCACCCTAGCCTTACTTGAATCTAATGAAATCAATCTTTGCAATCATTCTGTTCGCATTTATTCCAACCTTGCCCTTTCATTAAGTATTGAAAATACTAGTTGAATATGATACTTTATTTCAGTCAATATTATTGTTTATCTAATCAAAACCTCTTGATGAATTTGAAAAGTTGGATAGGGATTACAAGGAGAAAGGAAGCTGAATTCAATAGTTGGGGAGTTATCCAAGCTAGTTGAAACTTCAATAACAAATGCAAGTTTAACTTATTAGGGTTGTATTTTCAAATATCTCCTTATAGGAAACAAATGAGATTCTACCTTTTGTATTCAATAGGTTACACATGAATGTGAATCTATTGAGCTGCTGTATAGAGATGATCATAGATTAATGAATACACAACATGAAGGACACTTGACTCTTGCCAAGTATGGGCATCCAATATGTTCAGGCAAGTTTCTTAACCTCTGTTCATTTTACCTTATTTTATATATGAAAGTTGTCTCATTTGCATTTGTTTCATTGTCACCAGATTTTTCAACCATTACTTTCATCCAGCCCCTTGGTTGCGTTTACCCTCATTCGACCCCTTAGCCACTCTACTTGCTTGGTCATTCAACTATTACTACTTAACTTATCCAGTCATTCGACCGTTGCAATTATATAACCATTGCTACTCAACTTGCTCAGTCATTCAACCATTGCTACTCAACTAATTCGATTATTCAACCATTGCGATTATATAACCATTTCTACTAAACTTGCTCGGTCATCCGACCGTTGCTACTTAACTTGCTTGATCATTCGATCGTTTCTACTCAACTAATTCAATCATTTGACCATTGCGATTATATAACTATTTCTACTCAACTTGCTTGGTCATTTGACCGTTGCTACTTAACTTGCTCAGTCATTCAACCGTTGCTACTCAACTTATTCGGTCATTCAACTATTGCGGTTATATAACTGTTTCTACTCAACTTATTTAGTCATTGGATCGTTGCGATTATATAACCGTTTCTACTCAACTTGCTCAATCATTTGATTGTTGCTACTCAACTTGTTCGATCATTCAATTGTTACTTGCTCGGCCATTTGACAACTACTTGCTCTATCATTCGATCATTATTTGCTCGATCATTCGATCGTTACTTGCTCAGTCATTCAACCGTTACTTTCTTAGTCATTCGACTGTTACCTATTTGGTTATTTGACCATTACATTTTTTTAATCGTTTTTATTTTACCTGTTTAGTCATTCAACCATTACCTATTTGGTCATTTGACTATTGCGTTTGTTTAACCATTTTTACTTTACATGTTCAATCATTCGACCATTGTAATTATTTAATCATTTTTACTTTACTTGTTTAGTCATTCGACCAATTTTTACTTTACTTATATAGTTGCTCAACTATTGGAAATTTGAGTTATTCTTATCTTTTATTTTCATTCTTAACAATAAAAAAGAAACAAAAGAAAAGAAAAGAAAAGAGGAACAACTATCATAACCCAAATTTTTAATATATTTTTATTTTTATTTTAACTAATATGTTTTGTTTTTATTTTAACTAATATATTTTGTTTTTTGCTTTCATTGTTAGGTTTGTGAGCAAAAAAGGGATTTTGTGAAGAGCATTGGAAAAAGAAGTTGAAAGTAAGGACTCAATTGAAGAAATTGAAAGTTTGAGGGTGAACGTCATCAAGTTAAAACCATAAATCCAGCCCATACCCAATATTGAGCCCACTAGCCATTCAGGCCCAATCCTAAAACCCAAAACTCACCATTTCAAAAACAAACAATCAAAAATATATATTATTATTATATATAAAGATAAAAATAACTTGAATCCCCTTCTTCTCCCAGTCAACCCTTAGTTTCTCTCTCTCTTCTTGAATTTTCAATTGGCAGACATTCCTCAAGGATCGCCGATGATCATCTTCTCATTCTCTCATGGTATTCTCTTCCATG